GCTACAACTCACTTTGAGACAACCTGTGATGACATTAAAGACATCTATAAAAGGATGACAGGATCTGAGTTTGACTTTGAGGAAATGAAGCGCAAGAAAAATGACATTTATGGGGAAGACTAACAGCAGTAAATGTTAATATCTAATTAGGACAGATTTAAAATTTGGCAAATAATACATATTGTATGAAATCAATATTGTAAGGCCTGCTTTTGTAATCACAATGGAGATTGAAGATTGCTATACCAGTTAATATTCCCCTTCATCTCTCTAATCTTAAGTATTAACTTTTCATGGAGTGGCTATACAGATGGACTGGTTACCATTCTGTTCAGTTTAACCAAGCTGGCTTTTTTCTAGTGAAGGAAGTTTTAAAACGGTCATGATACCAATACAGAACATGATACTGTATTTGTATCTTTTAATCAGTGTAGATTTTGCAGTTTTGTGCTTCAGCTGCTCAAGAGGTGTATCCATACAATGCGTGCTGTGCCATCTTGACATTAAGGAGATTCTAAATTGAATATTCTCTACTTTTGCACAGCATCCGTACATTTTCCCTATATACATATTTTGTGTTATGTCAAATAATTATGGGCAGGGCCCACATACTGTGGCCACAAGTTTGGTTCTTGTGGATGTGTACTTCTAACCAGACTCCAGACTAAGGGAGTGTATGGGGAAAGCCAGTCAGTAACTGTTAACCTAGGAAAACTGAGAACAGGGGAAATAAACCTATCTATAAAGCAGGCAAAATGTAGAACCATCTTTTGTATCCCAGGTGCGGCTTCTTCGATGGACCAAGCTGCAATGCAGTATTGATTTGACAGAGCCTCTATTTCAATGTCTGTCTCAAAATGGCTCCAAATGATTTCTGTACTGCAGAATAAAGCCAAACTCTGGAAACCACTGCTGTCTGTACATGGTTCTGTTGCGTTACGACTGTGAGGGCCACTACACAGCTGCTGCACATGGCATTGGAGAGCGGAGAGAGACGCCAGAGCCAGATATGCACAAGAGCCGGGGGAGCACTTGATCCCTATCCTCCAACTTTGGTGTGAGAAGACCCACATTTTAATCTTGACAGAACATGATTGCTAAGACACTTTTTGGTAAAGTGTATGTGTGGTTCTGGAATTGAACTCAGAGCCTTCACACTGAACATTCTAAGTACCTTTTGTTTGCAGACAGGTCCTTGCAGAGTTGCCCAGGCTGGGCTCCAGGTTGTGATCCTCCTGTCTGAGCTTTCCCAGAGTGCTGGGATTACAGGTGTGTGCCACCATGCCCGGCGTGGTCTTGGTAATCTCAGCAATGGTATAGAGCAAGTGTTTTCCTTGTGAAACAAATAAAAGTTACTGCCGTGGGTAAATGCTGTTTATGGCAGCAATTATGATTTTTTTTTCAGGTGCAATAATACTTTAGTGACCAGGTACTTTAAATGATAAAACTAGTTTTTGCTGGTACTATTTCTCCTTCAGTGTTAAGCCTCACTCTATGTGTTTGTTCACCATTCTTAAAATGTGAAGTATGAAGGGGAAATAGGGGACCTGCTAAATGGAATAGAGATGGTAATTTAGTGTGTTACTCAGTCTGTGTGACTAATGCAGAGTACCTCAGCTTCTGTTAAGAGACATTTTGAGGCCTGGAAAAGGGGGGGGGGACCCTCTGTGGTGTACTGTAGAAGCCAACAGCATCTCATTACAGTGACAATCCAGAGTATCTCTGGACTTCAGATGGCAATCACTACTTTATCTACATGAGAAAATTATGTTTCATTGTGATCTTTAATGTTAGCAAAGGCATGAGCTGAATTATTAATAAGTGAAAAGCATTAAAGAGACTAAAACATTTTCATATGCTTTAAAATACTTAATAAACAACATGCCTGGCCTGAAGAGCACAAAGATGAAGGTATAATCCTCTGATGAAGTTCAGGGGAGACATGGTATCATATAGTAAATTATTAAAATGGCAGCTTGGGGAGACTGGTGTGGTGCACACCTGTAATCCCAGCGTTCTGGAGGCCAAGGCAGGAAGATGGTTGTGAGTTGAGACCAGCCTGGGCTACAAAGTGAGTACAAGGCCACCCTGAACCAGCAAGACCCTGTCTCAAAAAAAAAGGAGCTTGGAAGGCATATAGCCCACTGGCATAAGCGGCTACCTGGCAAGTGCAAGGGCCTAAGTTTGAACCCCAGTACTGCCAAAAAACCCAAAAAGGCAGACAGGAAATGGAAAAGGTTGGCCTTTTGGGTAAATTGAGTTATAACGAGTGTCAAGTAGACAATACTAGGTGGTAGATGCTTAACGCTTTTCTTAGTAATTATTTCAAAATAATTTACTATACCAACCAGTTATGGTCCTCTTACTAATTTTTGTTCTAGGGGAAATACTGGGAAATATTGTTGGTGAAAAGTGTCAGTGGTTTGATAAATACAGTAAAACTGGTACTTCTGAACAGTTAAATGGATGCACAGCCTTATAAAGAGGGTACTTGAAATTTCCTGTCTGTAGCTGGTTATTTCAGTGTACCTGACTTTGAGAGTCAGCTCAGAGGAAACTAGCTCAACAGAAGCCAAGCCAAAGGGCTGTACTGGTAGGAATTCCCAGGACGCCAGTTAATCCTGAAGTTGCTAAGACGTTTCATACAAGTTTAATTTTTGCTCTAAAATTACTACAGAAAGAATTATTTTTAAAAGTTGTTTTTATTAAAAAAAGAAAGCCATTATAAAAACTGCTCCAAATAGATACTATGCATCTCTTACAAATAGTTTTGTTTTAAAGATTGCTGTAGAAATTACTTCTAATATCATAAATAAATGATTCTCAAGTGGTTGATTTTTTGTAGTGTAGTATTAAGAACTAAGTGGAAAAGTTTATAAATGGGTATCATTTAGAAAAAGGTATGTAGTGTTGCTTGTTTAACAGCAAAACCATTTAAAAGTGCAGTTTTTTATAGCGTGGTAAAACTGAAAACACCACACAAGCACTTTGAATGCTTTTTTGACATTAACATGCAAAAACAGCTAAGTGTCAAAATACTTCTGCTCCAACTAAATAAATATGTTGCAAAATTCTTGATCAGTTTATAGCTCTGAAAACATAATGTTTGAAAAAAAAAATAAAGTATTCAACACTGCAAACCCAAATCTAATGGCAACTGTCACTTTAAAAGGCATTACAGCAAAATATAAAAATAAAGGAAAACATCAAGATGTAGCACACAGAGTTTGCAAATACGAGGAGACTGTTGGTTTTTTTTTTTTTAAATCGGAGGAAAATACTGTTGTTGGTGAGCATCCTCCACATGTAGGCATGTTCCAGCTAAATCACCTGTAAAACAAAATTGGTAAGACAAAATGAACAAGAAATATTTTACAAACAGGATTCTACATCTAATGCGGCAAACTAAACAGTTTATGCATAGTATTAAGGTTACATTGTACTGTGTCCTTGCAAGCCAGGACAACCAACCTACTTTGCATTACTACTGATAATCTCATTAGTGGTAATTAAGGAAGCTAATAGTATTTCCATGCTTAAAAAAATGTGAAAATATAGCATGGTGCATAACGTGAAGAGCAGTTGTTGAATAACTTTCCCACAGATACACCTACATGTCTGGTACCAACAACTCAAAACTGCACTGGAGTTCTATAGAAAGTATTCTTACCAATAGCTACTTCTAAATGGAGCTGCTACTTTTTGTATGTTCTCAATGAAGTGATTTATATCTGTAGCAAGGATTCCATTGTTACCAAAGACTTCACTGGAGATATGCTTATCTATAAAGAAGAAAAACTGGTTTGCAAAATGTTATTAATTCACATTTTCTGAAGTAGCAGTTTAAGGAAAAATCTTTAGGGTGCCTCATTAATGTGTAAGGTGAGGAAGAGAAGAAAACCTGTGTAGTTCAGACACAAAGATAAATTTGGGAGCTGCTGCACGCATGGTGGGTGATGGAAGAAACTGAAAACTGCTAACTGACCTACTTCTGTAATTATTTAAGTAAGACTAAAGAAGCCTGGTCAAGAGTAACAAAACATGATAAACAAGTACTTACAGAAGCAGATGAAACTTATTAGAGGACTAGCAACTATTCAAGTTACTACTACTATTAACTGCAAAAGTAAGTAGCATTAACTAGTAGTAACTACATATACCTGGGTAGTTTCCTCTGGTTTTATGTGCATGTCAAAACATACCACATTGTTTTTGACTGCCGGCTGTGGGATTGGGATTTCTGCACATACACGAGGGATTCAATGACTTTATTTGGAAAGACATTTCTAGAGCACTGAAATTTAGAATTCAGGCTGTGAATTTACCTGTTAGAAAGATAGCAAATCTGGCATCCACATGCTGAATTTGTAGGTTTATCAAACATTTTAAACTGTCTGCTTTTGTTTGTGACTGAGAGTCACAGTGGTGATAGGGAAGCAATTCAATGATATTTGCACTCTGGTATGATCTCAATATTAAGTTCTTTTTATGAGCAACTGAATCCATTCTGTGGAAAAACAGGAATGTTAACAACCAGACTCACAATATAATTGCGTCACCCATTTATGTATTTTTTTTTTAATCTTTTTTTTTTTTTTTTTTTGGCAGAACCGGGGATTGAACTCAGATCCTTGAGTTTGCCAGTCAAGTGCTTATCCTACTGAGCCATCTCCCCGGCCCCCTCCATTTATGTATTTTTTACATCTTAACATCTACATGTTTTTGTTTCTAGGAATTTTTCTTTTATTTTGTGTTGAAACACTCAAGCTCATAAAAGGATCCTGCTCTTAATGTTTTTCATGAAACACTTGGGAGTCCTGAGTGTCACTGTGCAGTCAGTAAGTTGCTTCAAGATGTTACTACTGTTGTCACTCCTTTGTATATACAGGTTGTAGACTGGACTTGGCTCACTCCACAGCAGAGAGGTATCACACGTATACCTACTATCACTTCAAACCACATGAGTTGGCAAGTCTTTTACTGACTTCTAGAGGACGTTTTTGCATGAAATATTTGTCTAGTAGTGGTTTTTTTTTTAAATTTTATTTTAGGGAAGGGTCTACAGGGTGTTCAGGGTCTCACTGCTAGATCAGACTTGCAGTGATCTACCTGTTTACAGCCTCCCAAGAGCTGGGATTACAGGTGCGCACCACCACATCCAGTAGTGGATTTCTTTAATCATCTACACAACCAGATGTGGTGATACACCCATGTAATCCCAGCATTTGGGAGGCTGAGGTAGGAGAATTGTGTGCTCAATTACTGGCCCACACAAGGCCATCATGAACTGCACTGCGAGACTGTCTCAAAAACAAACATTTGTACATATATTCTATAATGAACTAATCACCAACTTCATTAAATTTAGGCATTGGCCAGAATTTTCTTAAGTTTTCATCTCCCTCAAAATCGTGTTGTTATATACCTTTTTAAAATTCCTTTAAGAATATGCATCCTACATTTAATAAATTTCATCTATTCTTATCAGTGAAAACTGCTTTCTTTGCTGTTAACTAGCCTCCAAAGGAAAGCTTCTGAAATTTTGTTTTTTACCACTGAGTTACATTCTCGTATTCCTTCTCCTCCTTTTTTTGGTGGAATTAGGGATTGAACGCAGGCCTTTGCGCTTGTCAGGCAAGCACTTATTCTACTGAGTCTTCTCCCCAGCCCCAAAGATACTGATGGTCAACTTAGTATTTTTTTTGTTTTGTGCGGTACCGGGGATCAAACTCAGGACCCTGCGCTTGCCAGACAGGTGCTTATTCTACTGAGTTATCTCCCTGGCCCTCCTATCCCCTTTATTTTTTTTTTTTTTGGTGGAACCGGGGATTGAACTCAGGTCCTTGCGTTTGCCAGGGAAGCACTTATTCCACTGAGCCATCTCTCCAGCCCCTCCCCTTTAAAAAAGTATTAAGATGGTCTAAGTTGCTCAGGCTAGCCTCAAGCTTGGCCATCCTCCTGCTTCAGCCTACTGAGCTACTGAGACTGCAGGTGAGTACCTATCCACTCCTTTCTTCCTTTGAAGGAAAGTCACAAATATTACAGTTTTAGCTATATTTGTTCTTAGTTTGTTGAAGAAAGCAGTATATTAAAACGGGTGTCTATAGAGGTGAACATTTTGGGGTTGAAGACCAGATTCAAAATTAATTGCTTGGCCATCAACAATTTTACTGTTTTCTAGGTGCTTCAACTTCTGTATTATGAAAAGAGAATTTACTACCTACCACCTAGGGATGAAGGTGAATGCCGTGGCTAATATAAAATACCAGTGCTTGACATTTTCACCAATTAGTGGCTTGTCCAATCTATCCTTTTCAAGATTATCTACACGGCCAGGTTCCTTTCAGAGTGGAGGCATGCCTTGGGTAACAAGGAACCCCCCCAACACCCCAATTCTCTTTGGCTGAAGAATCAAAATTTTCTTCTTTAAAAAATGGCTGCTTTCCCAGGGGCTGGGGTTCAATCCCACCCTGGCCTGCCACCCTGGCCTCACCCCTGGGGTGCACTGAGACTGCAACTAAGACTGGGCATGGTGAGTGCCTGTAATCCCAGTTCTTAGTAGGCTGAACACAGGTGGATCACTACAAGTCCAATCTACATAGTGAGACCCTGTAGACCATGTTGACCCTTACTAAAAAAATACAAAACTAAAAATGGCTGCTTAAGATGTAAAGAAGTCTATTTGTAGCCTCTGATTTAACGGTAAAGCTACATTAAGGTCAGATTCTAGTTTCTTTTTCCACTCTCTATGTAACCAACAATTTATTTTTTTTATCTTTTGGTATTTTTAGGGAAGGGTCTACAGGGTGTTTAGGGGCTCACTACTAGATCGGATTCATAGTGATCTGCCTGTTTACAGCCTCCCAAGAACTGGGATTACAGGTGCACACCACCACACCCAGCCTCAATTACCATTTCAGTACGCCCCAGAGGCAGGGCCAATAATTTAATATCTTAATATTTACAATACCCCTAATACATCCATCAGGCCCATAGTTTTATTCATATATAAGTATAAATTATATATAATATATAGTTTTAATTATATATAGACATAATTTTTTAAATACTTTATGGTAGTAGAGGCTGTACCTTAAGTATATGAAAATTTTATGACACCTAAGTTTGATTTTTATTATAGAGAAGTACTTGGCTCAATTACTGTTACAATATACAGGTTTCTTCTTCAATGCCCTACTACAAAAAGAAAATGATACTTAACCAGGAGACCTGTTTAGTGATAAAGGTGACTTCTGTTCCAGTATCTTTCATCTGCCTGTAGCACTTGCAGTGAAATGAGCCTAGTGCATGTGGAGCCTGAGGGCAGTTTCAACCCCCGTCCCATACAAAGTTCTTACCTTAGACCTTCCTTTAGTTTTTTATTTTCTCTGTAGTGAAGCAACCACTTCCATCTTCCATGTCCATTTAGTTTTTCCAGGATTTTGACAATTTCCTTTAGCTGAGCTATAAATTTAGTAAGAGATGTTTTTGATGGCTGATGCAAAGTCTAGTAATCACTTGTAAAAAAGCAGTCTGTTGAGTACATTACCACTATTGCCACTGAGAACTGTACAGCTCTCACAAGGGCACAACCCGTGGCCTGTTGGCTCATCCTACCTGCCCCCGCTACAAATTGCAGGAGAGTATGGTAGCTACCAGCAGTTAGAGCTCTGACTGGATAAGCCGTGTGATGGATCAGAAGGGGATTAATCCAGTGCAGCACAGAAAAGGTGGCTGAGGTTTCTAAAGGTAGAATGTATAAACATTTTTAATCCCAGTTTCCAAGAATTCATGGAGGTTACGGTTCATCATTCTTCTGATCCAAAATGCTTTCCACATTGAGTTCTAATGTGATCAGAGTTAGGACTTATTTGCATTATATGTAAAAATGCCTGCACTGAGAGAAGTAAAATCTGTGAGAGTGTTCAAGGAGATGATAAAACACTGATTTTAAGAAGTTTTTACATCAAAACGTTTCATTAAAAAAATTAGTAGCTTATTAAATCTAAAGATAAGGTTGGAAACAGCTCAGTGGTGTAGGTATTGCCTAGTATGAGGCCCTGAATTATATTCCCCAGCACTATTCATTAATAAAATAAATCTAAGATTCACTAAAAAAAAAAAAAAAAAAAAAGAAGTTTTTAGATGTCTGCGATACCAACAAGATGGCATGGACAATGCCATTGGAAATGGAGAACAACTAATTCTTGTTTTTTCTTTTTGTACCAGGGCCTTGTGCTTGCCAGGCAAGTGCTGTGCTGTTGAGTCACATCCCTAGTCTGAAAAGAGCTAATTCTAAGCAAAAACTTTCATATGTGGCTTACTTGGTTTAGCAAGTAAAGGAGTTAAATATGAAACATCTCTCCCTAAAATCTGTACGAGTGTGAAGGAAGGTGAGATAACCAGCTAAAAAGAGGCTAAGAGCTCTACTATAAGAGAAAAAAAAAATACTTAGTATAGTACCTTGCAGATACTAAGTCTTCAATAGGCAGTAGCTCATATTCTTTAAAGGGTTATCTTTTTGATGAAATAGTGGGATCAATGGGTGAGGAGAAACTGACATGACTAGGATCTGCATGAAACGAGAATAGAAAATGAAAGACCAACCTAATGTAATAGTTTCTAGTATTCTATCATCTGATACCACAAAGCCCCCTGTGCGAAACAGCTCTTGGTGTGTGTCATTGAGAACATCTTCAGGGTCATCTACACCAGCAAAGATGACACCAGGCAGGTGCTTCAGCATCAGCAGAGAAGGAATCTGTTAGACATAAAGGGTCCCCATGAAGACAAGTACATCTATTCAAAGATTTAAAGCTTTAAAATAGTTTTAACCAGGGCTACTGCCTGGTATCCTGGCCAGGCATAGAATATTTTTCAGTTTATCATCTGTAGTTACAAACAAATGAAAATTTTAAAAATTTTCCTAAAGGCTAGAAATAAGGATTCATGACTGGGAGAGTGCATCTGAGGTTTTGGGTTCCTGTAAAGAAACCACCCATGATACAAACAGCATCATTTTGCCTCCAGGCGCATGTAGTAGCCTGACAACAGCAGCAGGATAATGTATCTAGCCTATATCCACAAGCTGGATCTTCCTGAGCCAAGCAATTACATTTTATCAATTACTAAGAAAAAGTTCACATGTCCTTTGTATGTATGTTTGTTAATGGGGACTCCACCCAGGGCTTTTGAACTAAGCTTTAACCCTAGTCTTTATTTTTTGAGATGGGATATCTCTAAGTCACCACGTTGCTCAGGCAACTTGTGATCTTCCTGTCTCAACTTCACAGACTGCTAGAATTGGTGTTTACCACCATGCCTAATTCTTACTAGTCCAACTTTTTAAAACAAGGGAATGATTTACCTCAAGTGAGAAAATTTAGGAGTCTCTCACCTCTTTTCATAGTTCTGAGTTAATACGAGCAGATTCTTACTATCTTAAGGTGCAATGGTACTATATGTGTGCCATATGTGTAAGGTCCTTCTCTATGCAGACAAGTTTGATACTGCAGAACAATTCCAGTGCTGGAACATATATCTTTGTATGAAGGATATCTGCAAACTCACCTCATGCAAATGTGATGATATATCTTCATTTCTGATGATGACTACTAGAGTATCAAGCATTCTGTGAAAAGCTTGACAGAAATGCTGAGGTTCAGTTTCTGTATGGCCTCCTTTCCTCAGAATGCTCTGAAAGATTCACAAGTGGCCATTACTAAAAGAGGATACTTGCATAGAACTTTTAGTTTATTAAAAACCCATTATAAAAGCAAATCCTATTTACTGAATTAGATCCTAACAAGGCAACATAAATAGTAATTTGTTTTATTACTAAGTTTTATACATTTAAAAATGACTCTCAGCTACAATAACTGGATTCAGAATTGTATTTTAAAAGTAGTGTAGTTTGTAACACATAGTAACAAGATTATAAAATGCCAAAGTTGATTAAAAAAAAAAAAAAAAACAAGAAAAACCCAAAACTAATCTATGTGAGTTTCACTTTAGGGATGCCATATATTTACATTTAAAATACCACGTCCATTGAGGCCAGCCTGGGCTACTTTGTGATTTGAAGGCCAGCCTGCACTACAGAGCAAAAGCCACCTTTAGTCATAACTTATACAGAACTTTAAAACATTATACCTATCCATTCCTTTATCAGCAGTGGGGAATGATTTTGGAGAGAATCAACAGTTCTTAGGAAATTACATCTTTAAGTAAGATGAGTGATAGTTTAAACTGCATGTTACAAAGCACTGCTGTGACAGTTCCCTACCATTACCCTAAAGAGCTCTCCAATATGAATCCTCACTGGCAATGTCTATTTGGGTAATCAATGTACTAGGTCAATTCTCCTGTGACTCTGAAGGATTCTTGGTTTCCACAGCCTCAACTATACCCAAAACATTATCTGACCATTGTGCATATTTGAAAAAAAATATTACTTTGTCCTAAGAGCTTCAAACAATAAATTTACCTATCTCTTTATCACAACAGACCCCATGATTTTCAAAGAAATTTGTACAAAATTTCTTTAACAAACAGCCCAATATTTAAATTTAACTCTTTGGCTGTCACTTGTTTTACTAGTAAAACATTAGAATGAATATTTTTTCATCAAATCCTGTGATTTCAATAGTAATAAAGAACCTTGACGATCTTATCATTCCTGTTACCATTAATTATGTGTCAGGACTCTCTAGGTCAGAAGAATCATCAAGAATATTTCTGAGCTCTTAAAAATTTTTTGCTCTTGATATTATTGTCAAGCTTATTTTAGGATGTGTTCACTTTGTCACCTGAAGTTCAATCCTTTAAAAAAATTATTTTTATTTAAAAATTTTAAAATATCATTTATTTATTTCACTAGTTAATTAGTACAGGGTCTTGCTACACAGCTCAGACTCCTAGTTATCCTCCTGTCTCAGTCTCCCCCTGGCTGGGATTACAGGCATGTGCCACCACACCCAGTTTTGGGGCTGGCATGGTGCACCCAGGATTTCAGGGCCAGCGTGGCAAGTGGTACTGGGGATTAAACCCAGGTCCTTGTCTTGTCAGGCAGGTGCTTAGACCGCTGAGCTATCTCCTCAGTGCCTGAAGTTCAATTTTAACTTTGCACAAAATCTGTTACTGTTATAAACAAACAAGTATAACTAGAAGTACCTAACTACAAATAAAATAGCACTGCTGTGATCTTCCTACAAAAACCACTATCACCTGCTCTGGAAAGGAAGTGAAAACTAAGATTATTTGTTTTTCTGTTGCTTTTGAGATGGAAACAAAAAACCCAAGTATTTTATTTACTATGGCAAAATAGTATGTTTTCATGATGCTACTCAGCTGACTCCTCGTTCCTGACTCATCACCACACAACAGGGTATAGGATTTGTAATTAACAAAATTAACTTTAAGAAAGAAAACAGATTAACTTTCAGCCTGCTTCTGGAGGCCAGGCACCTTCAGAAAGACTGAAGTATTTTATCTTTTCAACTACACTGTTTACCAGCACGGCAAGGAACCTGGAACAAAGACCATGAGGTAGGGATAAGAAGAAACCAAACCCAGCAGCCATTTATTCAGAGCCTTGGAGAACAAAATATACCTGGTAGCAGGAGGTGTGTATATGGGGAACATTTTATGTTAAAGAACAGATTCTATACATGTGGAAAAACATTAAATCGTTGTCTCAGTTTTTCTTCTCTCATTGCTGGGACAAATACCCAACACTCAAAATAGGAAAGGGAAGATTTATTTAGCTCACAGTTAATGGAGGTTTTAGTCCATACTCAGCTGGCTCCAAGGCAGAGTGGCACATGGCAGAGAGCAACTTTTTGCTGTACCTCAAAAAGCAGAGCAGGGGAGGGGTAGCAGCTCAGGCAGCTAGCTAGCCTTTTAACCCTCCTTACACTGTCATGCAAATTACCTGCTCCAGGGCAGGTGTACCATCCACACCCACAATAATCAATCAATTACAACTCCAGAAGCTGCCCATGAGGACATGAGGCTGTGTGTGTGTGTGTGTGTGTGTGTGTGTGTGTGTGTGTGTGTGAATTAGACACAAACCATAACAATCATTTAACATCATACTTAAATGACCCAAAGTAGTAGCCATTTCATAGAAGAATAAATGTAACACACAATGGAATGCTGCATATTAGACCTGTTACCTGCCATTTTCCTAATTCTTCATTTGCAGAACAGATTACTCTAAAATGCAAAAATGCTGTTACTCATCTTTTAAAAGTATTTTTAAATGACTTCAGGATAAAGTCTACAAGTTCATGTGACTTATTGAGGCTCTTCCTAACATGCTCTTCTTCTCATCTCTAAAATCATCTCCTGTAGTAAAGTCTACATTTAGTTGTACTGATCAACCCTGCTTCCCCCAGCGTCTGTCCATTCCACTGACCTATCCAGAAGCTTTCCCAGGCTCCACACTCACTCACTAGGTTCTGTTGCCCAGCATGATTTCTTCTACTGCAGACTGAGCCCTTTTTAACTACTCATGCTGGCCAGACTTCCAGCTCACAAATTCTGTGTTCTTCTTCAAGAACCTTGTGTGTTTGCCAGGTTCACATCTGACTGTGAACAGCAGGGCATGTCAAGAAACATGTAACCAGCATGCCAAGTAGGAGTCTATTGGGCCAAGCACTGAGAGGGGCTGTGCTAATTGGAGTCAGTGGACAAGGCCTGTGTGTAACAGCAACAGCATATGCAATCTTACCTGCTTGGACCCTGAACTTGCATTTATGAAGTACATTTTACAAAATTCATTGATGTATAGTTCAACTAAAATTGATGTAAATTTTTATTTTTTGAATATTTACAAACTTAAATGAATATAACAATAAAAATTGTCTAAAATAAATATGAAGAACAAAAAAAAAAAAAAAAAAAGAAACATGTAACCAGTTCTGTGACTTTTGCAGAGGCCTCATTTGATGTGGTCCTGTCATGGTGCACCTTAAGGGCACTCACTGCAAAGTGCACTATACACATTCTTCATCAGACTTTATATAAACATTCTTAGATGCCAAGTGGGAGTTAAACAAAATTCTGCAGCAAGTATACCTGCAAGGACTTACCATGCAGCACATCCTCTGGAATGTCACCAAAGGTGCTGACATGATGAAGTATGAAATAACCTAGTGAGGCGTTTAGAACCGGTGCACTTCATGATTAGCTCCACATCACTTACTTAGGAAAGACCTCCTGAACCAGGATGATCATCTTAAAACATTGGCAGAACACAGCATCACAATACTCACTACAGCTGTATATTGATTTGTATGATTCTTTTATTAGTATTTTCCTCATCCTGTTAAAGATCATAAGCAACATCAAAACAAAAAGGCAACATTTCTTCCCCACTCAGCATATGCTGGGACACTAAAAGAACACAATTAGAAAAAGCTGCTAGTGTCTGAAAGGAACTTTCAGTTAGCCAGGGTTGGAGAAAACAGCAGCTGGCATACTTGGGACCCAGCTCTGGGCAAGAGCTCCAGGCACTGGGGTCTGATTATGGGGCAGTGGGAGTGGAAAATGTCTACACAGTCAGGAAAAGAGGATTCAGCTTTCTTATACAAAACAGTTTCAACCATGAAAAAGGAAGGCTAGCAACATACATTGTATTATCTATCGTGGCTCTTTGTGCTGAGGGGAACTAGTAATAGTAATACTTAGTGGCATAGGGTTCACTTGTTCCCCAGGTCCTGCATCTAAGTGCTGTTTTTCACTAGAAAGACTCACAGCTTCTTGGAGAAATGGCTAACTCCAAGGTTGGGGTAAAGAAAATACAGAAGAATTCTCAAACATCATGTTGCATTGCAAAGTAAGGAAGTACCCAAAGAATTATGGAGACATCAAAAGGACACAGAAGCCAGCTTAATGTTACTCCCACTGGCTGGGTCTGAGATAATTTTTTTTTTCTTTTTTAAAGTACATATGGTTTTTTGTTTTGTTTTGGGATAATTTCAGTGTCAAAAAAAGGAAGGCACAGATAGCAAGCCTTTGAGTACAACATATATAGATTATAGTCCACAGTAACACAAGTAAGCAAATGAGTGAATGAGAGAGGAGATGTCTATCCTGCATTAGAATGCCAATTAACAAATGTAAAATGATGGAACTAGAGTAATACCACATGGCAACCAACAATCACAGTAACTGATTCAGATAAGAATCAACAGATCTTAAATCAGATGGGTTAAATTCTGAAGAACTGTATTATTTATATAGTCTCAAGTACCTTCTCACTTGTTAATTACTTAGTGGCAACTACAACATGCTTATTAACTTTAACATTAAGAGACCTGAGAGATATTATCTTAATCAAGCAAAAAATGCTAATACATCAATAAGGAGACAAACAGACCTAAGGTGCCTCAATAAAATGTACCAAGAGACTAGAGTATCAGATCTTGTCTAAAAAGCACAAATAATAAGAAAATAGCATATCAACACAAACTGAAGGAAATTTTACAAAATAACTGGCCTTACAATCTTCAAAACTGTCATCATCATAAAAGTAATGGGAGAGAAACTATTTCAGATTGAAGACATGACCACACTGCAATCTGTGGAATAGATGGTCATGTTGGATTAGTGTTAACTTCCTGATATTTATGGTTGCACTGTGATTATATAGAACAGTACTCTGCACACAGGTAATGTGATTTTACAGATGGTTCAGAAATGTTAGTGGTAAGCAATGTGGGAAGGCTTTTAGTATACAAGGTTATTGTAAAATACATGAAAGAATTCAGTGGGGAGAAACCCTATGAATGTAAACCGTGTGGGAAAGCTTTTAGTATACAAAGACACTGTAAAAGACATGAAAGAATTCACAATGGGGAGAAGCGCTATGTATGGAAACAGTGTGGGAAAGCTTTTAGTCTACACAAAAATTGTAAAACAAATGAAAGAAGTCATACTGGCAAAAACCCCTATGTATGTAAGCACTGTGGTAAAGCTTTCCTCACATATTGTGACTGTCAGAAACATGAAACAGTGCATACAAGATAGAAAATCCGTGTATGTCAGCAATATGGGAAAGTTTGTGGTTTTTTTTTGGCGGAACCAGGGATTGAACTCAGGCCCTTGCACTTGCCAGGGAAGCGCTTATTCCACTGAGCCATCTCCCCGGCCCGTACTTTTTTTGGCGGGGGGAAAGTTTTTAATACAAAAGATTATTGTAAACTACATTCTAACACAACAAGGAAAATTATAAACAGTGAGAGAAAGCTTTTTTATACATCGTTATTATAAAGTATATGAAAAAACAAACACTGGGGAAAATGCCTGTGTATATAAGCAATGTAAACTTATATAAAAAGTACTTTTTAAACACATGAAGTCTCATGGAAGAAAAATTTGTATATATATGAAAGGTGGCAAAGCTTTCAGTACAGCTGGTAATTGTAAAAGACACAAAAGAGCTCCCACTTGACATGAATTCCATATATGAAAGCAATGTGTGAAAGCGTTCATCATACCTGGTGTTTGCAAAAGACAAAATAACTCATACTGGACAGAAACCATATGTGTGTAAAATGTATGGGCAAGCATTATTATCATTATTATTTGGGTCAATAACTGGAGAGAAAGTTTATGAGCTTAGTTTGATAATCCTGTGAAAGTTTCTCAAGTAGTGGAAGCATATACGACTAATTAATACAATATGCTTGATGCAAGTACTTCATAAAAATGCAGTCCCAAATAAAAATGTCCTAATGCACATATATTATGTATTTTTTTTTAGAAAGTCACTTAAGTATCTGGATTATGTTTCTACAGTATTTATTCTATATTGAACTGGCATAATTAGATATTTTTATATGTCTGGACTTAATACATGGTGTCTTTTAATTAAGCATGTTGAAGTGAAAAATATTTTTTATTTTCAATTGGAGTTAGTAAGTTTTGCTTTGTCTTTAAAATTAGGAGGTATAGACCATAAAAATTAATTTTCTTGATTACTTTTTGTTAATTGTCAGATTCTCTCTACGCTTGTTTCAGATTTTTGGTGTCTATATTCTGTGTAACAACAGATATTTTTCAATTTGATGCCATATTTTATATTAAGATATATATATTTATTCATAAAAAAAAAGAAATGTTAGTACTAGGATACTTAGATAAGAGGTACTATTTCTGCAACCTTTGTGTAAATTTGAAGTTACTTAAAGTGTTGTCCCTCAAGGGCTGGGAAGACAGATTAGTGGTCTAAGCACCTGCCTGGCAAGCATAAGGACCAGGGTTTGATCCTGGTACAGCATGCCAAGCACGTGCACCCTGCTTCCGGGTGCACCCTGCCAGCCACCAAAACTGGGTGTGGTGGCACATACCTGTAACCCCAGCACTGGGGAGACTGAGACAAGAGGATCACTGAATCCAAGCTGTGTAGTAAGACCCTGTACCAAATAAATAAATGATTAAAAAAAATTTAAAGTGTTGTCTCTCAAATATAGGAATCTAGTAAACTGAGAAGATAGAATGAAAAAGCTAATGGTACATCAAAAACAGATTCTGGCTGCTCCAAAGTCAAGATTTCACCATAGTTACATCACTTAAGTTTAAGGATCATGTATGTAGGCACAAAAATATCAGTTGTTCTAATAATCAAATATACAATAACATATCATTAGCCAAACGAAGTCCCTCTCAGTGATCCATACTATAGGAACAAAGATAATTTTTGAAAAAAAAAAATCTGTGTATCAATAGTAGAAATACATTTATATTTATACTAGATTAAAAGCATGCTTACACTGGTAAGTTTTTGTGATAACTAGTTATTGCATTAATTCTGGAACATCATGTGAACATTCAAATATAGTAAAATGGGGGCCCTTATAAAAAAAACTATGTAGTTAAAAAGATGGAGCCATGAAACCTAAATAGCACCTCATACCACTTCATTATGAAGCTCAAACTGCATTTATTACTTCTAAAATATAATTAAAAGGCAATCAAGATAATATAAAATGTAAGAATAAGCTGGTACTTTACCTTTGTTCTTGAAAAGAATAGTTTGTCTTCTGTTTCAACAAGGTAGAAGAAGAAGGGACTCTTACATGCCTTTTTCAGAACACTATTTAGCTTGGTATGCAAACTGGCACACAAGTCTGTAACTATATCTTCATAAGAGGCAGACTGTCTTCGGAAAGATGGATTCATCTCTTGGTATATGGCTTCTTCAGAAGCCCTACTTAACTCTTTATTCTGCAAATCAGCATGGTTGCTGTTCATTATTACCTTATTAAACTCAGCATATTCATTAAGAATAAGTGAAATATCATTCCGAGATTCTTTTGAAGTACTGTTGTATTTCAGTTTGTTTAGATGGAATGAAACATTCTGGTTTCTCTGAGAATTTGTAAGATTTCTACTGTGACTATATCCTTCCTTACAAAATGATGCGGTACTGTCCACATCACTGGGTATACGGCTTCTCTTGTACTGACTCTGTTGTTGGGAAAAATTGGCATCAGAATGCAAAACTGTTACTAGAATGGGGCTTCTGCTCCTGGGTGTAGGATGTAGAACTAGAGGCTCAGACATTTTTGTCAAAGGGAAATCTCGCAGTGAAATTTGCAGAGGTAAGTCAGGTTGTCGAGAGCCTTCCTTCTTCACTACTTGTTTCATCTTATGTGTAAAACGCAGATACTCCAGATCTAAAGTGTTCTGTGTAGGGTTATCTGTCACTTGCCAAGTGCTTGTCCAGGAGCTGAGCAGGCCCCAGTTTATAGTGAAACTAGGGCACCTTTTAACTCTATGCAAAGTTCTTGTCATGTCTTTGAATTCTCTTGTTACGGTAAAGTTATCATAATTCCTGGGGATACCATGGAAATCTCGGATTTGGACATAACGTGGCACACACTTATCTGCTTTCTCTAATCCAGTGACCCAGCTGCTGGGAGTGCTGCTGATCTCCAGTCCTTGAACTTCATTAGAATAGTCACGAGCTTCATTATCACTGTTGTTTAAGCTGCTGAGAGAGTCATAATCATCTTCTGTAGCATGTTCATTCTTCCTAGTATAACTTCTCAAAATGCCAGAATTCTCCATATCTAATCTGGGATTTCCACAGTCATCAAGGGAGTCTTCATCAGACTCTCCAGAAAGCAGTTCACATCGTATGTCAGGATTCATACTCATGTCTACATTTCTGCCCATGGCGTCAGAATCCATGTCATCCTTGTGCCTCTTGCTGGCGCTCTTCCTGTCAATATGCTCTTTAGAAACTCCAAAAGTAAGAATTTCAACAGATTCTGGAACACAGGCCGCAAAAGGTTCTTCACTGATGCTTTCACTGGTGTGTATGGTATTTTTGTAAGAACATGCATCAGAGGGCAAAAACTCATCTTTCGACAGCTCTTTTACTTCACATACAGATGTACCTGACAGTGTGTGGACTGTTTCTTGTTCACTTTCTGTAAAAGTTGTGGAGTTAGGCTGAAGGCTGATGGTACCCAGATCTGTATCTTTTTGATGTAATTCATTTTCAGTTTTACTATTCCCAAGCAGACTGGCCATTCTGATGACTGATATCTCCTGTGTCTGAAACCCTAGCCCTATACTTTCTGGTCTCGTACACTGTGTGAATGCACCACTATCTGAGGCAGAACCAAACTCTGGGATCTCTGGATGCAGATGTGCCTGCTTGGCACCAATTTCATCAGCAGAGGGAGCATTCATAAACTTAACCTGAATGCAACTGCCACCATCTGTTTTCAAGTCACTATCATACAGATTTCTTTTAATGCTTTCAGGGCTGCCCTGTTCTTTTAATGATAGACCCACTGTTCCACTTAGAGCAGTTGTAGAAACCAATGTGTCAACCAAAGACTTATTTTCAATAGTCTTTCTAGAACTAAATGGGGGTTGGTTGGACTCTGAGACAAGATGTTTTAAGCTCAAATTTTTACTCTCTCTGTTAATCAGCTGCAATGGATTTCCTGATTTTACTTGTTTTTCAAGAGAAGGCTTGAAGTTATTTCCGTAACTGGCAACAAAGGCAGCGTCATTTAACTCTGGGTCATGGCACTGTACCTTATCTGAGAAAGACAAACCTTCACTGTGTTCACTTGGAGCAATTTCCTCAGTTGTTTTATCAGGAAGTATTAGTCTATCTTTTGTTCTTGGATGATTCGTTAATATTAGAGGCATTTGAGCAGAGAGCTGGCTCTTTGGTAGTTGAGTTAAGTTCTTTCCTCCCACTAGGGGGTTAGGACCAACAAAAGAATTTTCTTTTTCTGTTACAGCTAAATCTTCTGACTCAATCTGGGAGAATTTGTTACTTTTTTCACACTGTGTACCATGAAGTTTTAAACTACTTTGAGGGACAGCCTGAGAGGACCAAGTTTCTTCAGTTGGTATGAGGGGATCAGGACTAGAAGCTGGTGACACTTCTTCAATTAAAGAATTAAAGGGAAAGTCAGAAGTAGTATTAATTTTCTCCCCAATCTCAAGGGTACAATTTTGTTTAGGAAGTATTAAAGTAATTGATTGTATACTATCACCTTTTCTCTCCTTGTTTTCTAGTGGTTCTTTTGACACTGTAGAATAAGATGAAATTGCACTGGCTGAATTCATTTCCCTTTTTTCTATGAGTGTCATCTCTTCTGGCTCAGTTATTTCAACTATATCCTGAAGTCCTACATTTGATCCTGGAGCCTCCTGAAGTTGCTCTGCTTCCTTAGCTGGCACTTTCCCCCTGGGACTTGTAGGTGGAGATATTGTTAGAGTCAGGTCAATATCAGAATTTTCTTCTTGTAACTCTAGGCTGACCTCCTGCCCATTCATAGACAAATTGGTTTGTTCAGCAAAGACTGAACTAAATGATTCCAAATTCATATTTTCACAGCTTAAACTACTTTTGTTATTCTTTAGTTCTAAAGAGTCATCAGATACATTTCTTTTTGGTGAGACAGGATCATGGGAATACCTTTTTCCTAAAGAGGCAGAAGCTGATGGTAAGACTTCTTCAACCTGTGATGGCTCTATTATCTCTTCTGAAGATATGCTAAAGAGATTTTGAGCCTGTGGACAGACATCTTGAGAGCGTTTTATTTCTTCACTGGGTGATGGATAACTAGAATGTTTAACTAACGATAATGCCTCCATTATCAGTGCTTTATCATATGATGGTGATGAGATAGGTAGAGGCATCTCTTTCTGTAAAGAAAGCTGTTCTTCGTCAGGTGTCTCTCTTTTTCCCGAAGAGGCAGAAAGGTACATAGTGCTTTTCTGTCCTGATACTGCTAGAGATGGAATGTCCCTAACACTTTCAGTTTGTGTCTCTTCCAATGAAGACAGAGTATGTCCATTATTTGTAGCAGGTGACACTTTCTTAACTGATTCACTACTAAAGGCTGTAAGATTCTCAACTCTACTTACTTTTGTATGTACTGGTACACAGGCATTATTTTCTAAAGTGAAAGTAACTGGTTCTAGATTAATCACCACATATTCCATATTATCATCTGTACTTTCCAAGGAGGACTGGCATTCACTGTGCACAGGGCTGCGATGCTGGATAACATCCTTTAATGCACTTGTGTTTGTCTGCACTGCTGAACGCAAATTATCAACTCTGCTTTCAAGATGGCTGTAAACAGACTTTCTACACATCTCTGGCTGACTGCTGGACTCACTGTAAGTCTTGGTGAATGTGGGTTGTGTGCCAGTGTTATAAGAAATCATTCTTTTGCTATCAAGTGACTGAAAAGATTTATCTTCATCAGAAATAAAAGGTCCATTAGTTTGAGTATTTCCAGTAACAGAAAGTAGATTAGAAGCTTCTAGTTTATCTGTAGATTCTTCCTTAGCTTTCCCTCCAATTATCTGAAATGAGAAAAGTACACAAGACAAGAGTCAAGCAGATCCTAACAGTGGAAGAGATAAGGACTAATTTTAGTTTGTGTTTGTTCTTAGGAATCTTCTACTCTGTAGGAATAGAGATGAAGCAAACCTCTGGTTTTGAGTCATTAGCTCAGGGGCTTGCCCATGCTAACCAAGCACTCTACCAATGAGCTTCAAACACAGCCTGTAATTTTTCTTCTGTAAAACTATACACAAATTAGAAGCCAGGTGTGGTGGGGGGATTGGCAAAAAAAAGTATACGTGGATTAGAGAGCCAAAACTTTAATTTCACAGCTTATTTTTGTTGTTGTTGCTTGCTTGTGTGAATATGTAGTTTCACTACGTAGTTCAGGTCTCACTATAATTCAGTCTGGCCTGGAACTCAAGGCAACCCTCTTGCCTCAGCCTCCAGAGTTCTGAGATCTCAGGGGTACACCATCACACCTGATCTTGTTTTGATTTTGTAAGACAGGGTTTTCCTATGTAGTTCAGGCTGGCCTTACCAGGTAACCCAGCCTTGCCTTGAACTCGTGGCAAGGTTCCTGCCTCAGCCTCCCAAGTGGTGGGATTACAGGTGTGCATCACCACACCCAGTTACAGCCTATTTTTTTTTCCATAATTTTATTGACAGACAAATAGCAATGAGACAATTTCAAATCAAACTGGTAGGACAGTTTCAATAATTAACACATTGCATACTGTCTTCCTAGTCAGCCTATTTTTTGAAATAATCCTTTTTGAAGAAAGTGGCTAGACCACTGACAAGTGAAGACCTGAAATGCATCATCTTTGCTACATAGTGTCTCACTTTAAAATGTAGCACTAGAATGGTACTCAACTTGCTGAGATTACAAAATAATTTAAATCCAAGAATAACTTTTTTTGAACATCAGTTTTCAATTATTACAAGTACAATGTCATCTGTTAATTTCCCATGAGACAGAGTAAATTAATTACTTAAAATAATTGCTTTTAGTAAATAAAGGTTCCTTATCTCTTATCTGTCTTCTCTATTTTAAAAACTGAGATAATTCTCACTTGAATAACCCTTATTCCACAGAGCAACAGAAAATTTATCAGTATGGTTTACAATCATAAATTAAAGAACTTAAATATAGCAAGTAGAATTTAGTCTAAATATTAGTAAAACCACCCCCAGACAACACGATAATCTGACAAACACTGTTTCGCTTTGTTTAAAACTTTCAGCCTGGTCTTGTCTAGAATATGATAATCATACAGTTCATCATACCTCTAGAATGTTTGGAACATACATTAAATCTCTTATTAAAAATATTTCTGCTTCAGCTGGATGTGTTGGTGTCAGCCTGTAATACCGCACTGATTGCAAGTTTGAGCCCAGCCTAGGCAACTTAGTGAGCCCCTATCTCAAAATTGAAGAAAAAAAAGAAAAAGCTGAGGAGTTAACTTAGTGCAAAGAAATCCCCAGTACCACAAAATCAAAACCACCATGATGGGCTCCCAGATCTGAGCCCTGTGATCACTTTCTACTCTTCATTTTTCAGTTAGGATGGGAGATAAAGCACCTGCAGGCAATCAGATTAACACTTTCGTGAAAACTAAATTTTTGGCATGAAAATCCTTTAGCTGTGGGGTTCACTTTCTCAACATAAAACAGTATCTTCCTTTAAATGTGATCTTACATTTTAAAAAAGGACATTTGTTCAAAAATAATGCTAGCACTTACAGTATTCAACCTTACCTCATTATTACAAGAACAGATGAAATTCTGACTCTCTGAGCTATCTGCATGATACTCTGTTGCAAAAGTTTCCTTTTGTTCATTGTGTACACAGAGTTCCAATGCTCTGGAAGATGGAAGTTTAATGAGAGGCAGCAAGGAGTTGGGACCACGGAAGGATACTTCATCACCATGACCTCTGGACATTTCATTAGTCTCCAATAGAGGGTCTACCAAACATCTTTCCACACTGGAGGATTCCTCAATTTCAGTGAGTTCAAAACATTCTAATGTGCTATTTAGAGACACATATTTTGCAGGGTTGCTGTGTTCTACCACTTTTCGGGATGACTGTATGACTTCATTGCGATTTCTGCGCAATAGAGCTACCCACATATGAAGTACAAGCTTTGTTTCTTCCACATTCTCAGGTAAATTGATGTTCCAGGGCCTGAAATTAAAATAAAAAAAAACAAAAAAAACCAGAAAAGTTAAAATGGGTATTTTAGTTGATAATTATAAAAAGTGCTACCTTATGAACTAGTTTGGTATTCATTTTTATTTTAAATATTATAAATAAGAGACAATAAGATGATATAATAATTAAGTCTAACCCATTCCATTATTTTAACCCAGCTCTTTAAAAGGGAAGCAATAATCAAAACACATGACTTCTTTTACAAATCACAAAACCTGTGTGACAGAACTATGATCTGAACATCAGTCTCTTGATTCCTAGTCTAACATTTGTCTTTTATACTTACCAGCTCTTTGGAGACAGTATACTCATATACACATAACAATTTTATCAACTACCCAAAACCTCATCACTTTTATTTTGCTGACTGTAGCTAACTCATTTGTTTTCCATTATTTTTTGTGTCTCTCTTCTAATAGTTGGATAAGTTGTACAGAGTATATTTCTCTAGGCAATTGAACAGAATTACAATATTTTCAGATTACAGTCCTCAACAGTATCTTGAAACCATGATGGGCGATACCAAACATTTCTGGCCTCTGAGAGATAAAAGGATAGCAGACAGCTAAAGTGGGGTGAGTGCAGATTGAGATACAGTTAAAAAGAATTAAGACTAAGAAAATAACAATCTACATGTGTACACATGAAACTAAGAATAAACATGTACAAGGAAAGAAGTCTACAAAGACCTGCGAAGTCCATTAGTCACATGTGAAATAGTTCATAGTAGGTAACTAAATATCATTCCATAATGTCATCATGCTAATGCTTTTTGCTAATAGTGATTGTTCCTATTTATTACAACAGGCTAGGCATTATAAAAAGTCTAAGATAGGTAAAAGCTTCAGAATATAAATCCATACTTAAAAAGTATTATCCACAAACTGTCATCCTCCACTGACATCACACAGGAATTTGTTAGAAAAGTGGAATCTCAGAGCTCACTTGAGACTAACTGCACCAGTTTTTTTTTTTTTTTTTTTTATTAGAGAGAGAGAGAGAGAGAGAGAGGTGTGTGGCCAGCTCAGCCCACCAGGGGGCGGGCTGGCTGGCATGTGGTGCTGGGGGATTGAACCGC